TTCTTATCCTTCTTCTTCTTCTTTTCTTTCTTGACCAGCTGTGGTGACGTCTCGTCACTTTCACTCTCTCGCTTCCGCTAAGGTGGGGACAATCGTGTTAGGTCTTGGGCAAACACGGATGAGAGAGGTTCAGTAAGAAAAGAGCCTAAATCTTGGGGCGCCTGGGTGGCTCAGTCAGTTGAGCGTCCGACTTCGGCTCAGGTCACCATCTCACAGTTCGTGAGTTCGAGCCCCACGTCAGGCTTTGTGCTGACAGCTCAGAGCCTGGAGCCTGCTTTGGATTTTGTGTCTTCCTCTCTCTCTGCTCCTCCCCTGCTCACACTTTGTCTCTCTCTCAAAAATAAACAAACATTAAGAAAAGAGCCTAAATCCAACAAACAGAGGCCCCATTTACCGAGGACTCCAACACGGTCTCCTCCCTAGAGAGCAGGACCCGTGGGCGCAGCTGAGCCTGAACCGGTGGGCCGCGTGCCCTCAGAGAAGGAGGGTGAGCCAGGGGCGTGAGGCGGACGGCCCCCAGTGGGGCCAAAAGTCCTTCCCGGAACCCTCAGACTGGAGAGCTGCGGCACTGCCGCGTATTTTTGATGCCGAGCTGCTGTCGTCTAGAGCGGACTCTGCTCCCACATGAGCTGTGCCCGCGCTTGACCCCATGTGGGGGCCAGAGGGACAGGTACGTGCGCTCTGCTCCAGTGTCGCTGCCCGACCTCCGGGCCTGTGGAGCCCGAGGTGTGGCGCACGACCTGCATCGTGTGCTGCGTGCACCCCCAGGGGCGGGAAGCCTGCCGCGCTGAGCTGCAACGTACGGGGGGGGGGGGACCGCAGTCCTCGACACGGGCCGAACAGAACCCTCTCCCAAAGGACACTGCAAACTGATCCCAGCACGTCACTCACCTTGGGAGCTTTCACCGCTTCATCAACTACTTTTGGGGCTTTTACCACTTCAACAACTTCCTGCGGGGCTTTTGCTGCCTTGGCCGCCACCTCTCTCTTGGCAGAGTCACTGAAAAAGAGGGAGCGATGGGTCAAACGCACTGAACGGCTTTCAGGCAGTGCAAGTCGCCATCCAAATACTGACAGTGGCCAGAAATCCCCACTCACTGCTGCAGAATGACTCCCTCTAGAGCCCCACGAACCAGACTACAAAGGGGTTGGTTAACTGTCTGCCACGGAGGCCCCGGCCCCTAACCGGCCTGGGCAGTCAAGGGTAGTACCTCCGGCCCCCAGGCCTCCTGAGCCACCACCCCGCGTTTAGCAAGTTTCCCCCAAACTGAATATGCCCCCCCCCCCCCGTACCCAGGCACTCCAGGAGCTCCTGTCCTCCCTCCCCATGCTCACCTGCAGTCGAGGCACCCGTCTGGGCCGCCCCCTCACCGCACCTGCCCCCCCGGGCTCCACGGCCTCCCACCCTCACCACCTATGCCCTCCTCACCTGCACTCTCTGCCCAGCTGGGGCTCGGAGACGTCCCACCCTCACCTGTAGTCCACGTACTCCTGCGTCCAGGCGACAGGTGTGCTGTCCGTGGGCTTGCCATGCTTATCCAGGAGGCCCTGCTTGATCATCAACTTCTTCTGACTTGCCTGGCAGACCGTCAGAGTTTCAACATCAGAACGGTGTCAACTCGTGGAGCAGGTACTGTGACCGCTCACATCAGGCTCCTCCCTCGCAGTCTCACTTGGGCTCCACACTCCTCCGCACAACACTCAGAACCCATGTTCTCCAACAGGAGCAAACGTGGGACTTGGCGCAAGTCACAAAGCCCACCGTATCACTGCCAGCCTCTGAAGCGTTGTTTTGTGGCACCTCCCCCCACCTCATTCCAACCCCCAGGCCTTTGCACCTGCTATCGCAGCTTCCCCACACTCTCCCCTCCCTGACACCTAACACTGCATCCTCTAAGCTGGCCCGGCTCCAGCAAATCTCTTACCCAGGACCCCCAACCAGGCCAAACCCCTCAGTTTGGACTCCCAAAGTGCCAGGCGCCCCTCTGCATCCCTTGATAAGCCTTCAACTTGGCGGAAATTCACCATTCATTGCGCAGTATGACTGACGTCCGTCTGCTTCCCCCTTTATACTAGGAAATCTCGAAGGTCTGAGATGGGCCCATTTCTACTCACCATCAACTCGCCAGAGCCCAGCACAAGGCAAGATTGTGGTAGTAGGGACACACTCGACAGCCATCCAGGTGAATATTCAACAACACAAAAATGAAAACATAACCCGGTGGGACACACACACAGTCCCACTTACCTTTGGACCTAAACCCCACTTCCGAGGGTAAGTATCTCTCTCCATGATCACTCTCTTGATCTTGGCTACTATACCATGGTCACAGGTAGAGATCACTGCTGTGGTCATTAATGCAATAGCTGGAGGTGTGGGAAAGAGATGAAAGAGGGATCTGGAGTGGAAAACGTGATTGGCGATGAGCCCTAATTCCACTGTTTTATAAATCCATCGGAAACTCAAAGCTCTACTGCCTTAATGGAGGCTTCCTTGGCTGAGGATGTTCATATGGAGACAATCTGCCGTTATGGGAAGAAAGCCTCTGAAAGCATGTTATGAGTTTAAAAAACATTCACACTAATCACGTAAAACTCAATGCTTCCTAGATCCTCAGGAGTCCAAACATCCGAGGTATTCACTGACCGCGCCTCACTGGTGCCCGGAGGAAAGCAGGTCATCAGACTCCCTTCTCAGTTGTAAGCGGGGCTCTGCGGGGAGCAGCCAAGAGGGGAAGGGAACACCTCGACAAGGCACCCTAAAGATACACTCCTCAGGCTCCAGGCTCAGGCCACACACAGGGAACGGCTTGCACACACCCTTCACGGAATGGAACACTCGAAGTTCTAAGCGACAACACCAACTAAACACTCACAAGTTAACTGCTACAGACAGACAACGAATGGACTATACTCTCCATATGAATTACCAAAGACATGCATTCTCTTCCTGGACGATTTCCTCCATCCTCACTGGAACCAAGCTGCTGAGATGTGGCTGCTAATACCAGCCAGCTGGACAAAATCTGGGCCCATCTACCACGATCCCCTGCTAGGACTACCTCTACAGGCCCCAGACAACACAGTGATTACGTGAACCTGAGGAGTTGGACTTGGGGTCCGCTCTTAGCAAGCCTGGCTGTGATGGTGCAGCAGGAACTAGTGCAAGTTCTCCTCTTACCCATGCAGATCGCTTCCCCTTTGGTGGTGATGACCACGATCTCCTGGTTGACTTCGATGCCGTCCTCGTATCGGAGAACTCCCGGAAGCATGATCTTTGCCCCATAGCAGATTGCATTCACCTGCAGGGATGGCATCGCACGTCAGAGCACCAGCTGCTCCGCTAGCCAGTGCCCTCCATCCGAACCCACCCCAGAAAAGAACGCGCGGGGTGGACCTGCGAGTGTACCCCCACCTACAAAATGGGGCCAATGGCACCGACAGCCACTGGCTGCGATCCAGTGTATGCAGCAACCACTCACCACAGGCTAGCCACCTTACCCCCACCGACTCAGACGTTAAAGGAGACTGAAATAGCTACTCATCCATCCGCAGGACGTCAAAGGTATCTTTATCTTCCACCGAAACCCAACCTTCATTTTCCTTACTCTTCTCTATTTTTTATCCTTGAGGAAAACCCTGACAGAAATGGGAAACCTTTGGGCTTTATTGGGAGATCTGGCCTATTAACAGGCCCCCAAAGTAACCAGCAAGCAAGAGTGCCAAGGCCTGTGACCTGACCCCATGCAGGTTAAAAAGGCCACCTCTCCTGGACATCAATGGCTTATGCCATCTTGCCTTCACTTACCTACATACCTTGCCGACCGCATTCTTCCTCCCGCTAAATTCACCCAGACGGCACCAATCTGATCCCAGCATAATGAGAATTTATCACATTTCTGTTCTAGTTCACGTGATTAACTTTTTCCAACTATGATAGCCTGGCTTAGTATACCTCTGTAATTTTTGTCTCCTACAAACCATAACATACAAAAAATTCATCAGACGGATTCCTGGGTGGCTCAGTTGGTTAAGCATCTGACTTTTGATTTCGGCTCAAGTCATGATCTCACGGTTTGTGAGTTTGAGCCCCATGTTGGGCTCTGTGCTGATAGCATGGAGCCTGCTTGGGATTCTCTTTCTGCCCCTCCCCTGCTTTCTCTCTTGCTTGCTCTCAAAAATCAATAAACATTTTTTAAATGCATCAAATACCCTTAACTTTGCTATCCTTTGTCCCTGACATAACTAATTATATCATTAAGAGAAGTGCTCTCAGGGTGCCTGGCCGGCTCAGTGGGTGGAGCGTGTGACTCTTGATCTTGGGGATGTGAGGTTCGAGCCCCACCTTGGGTGTAGGAATTACTTAAAGGAAAACAGTAACCTCATATCATGTTTCATCTCTTCCCACAGAGCACAGACCAGGCCTCCTGCCTGGGGTCGTTTTATCACACTGCGGACGCGCAGCCCAGGACTTACCGCGCTGTCTTTCATCACCAGCCGTTTGTGAGATGTCAAGAGCTTTTCTAAAGGGTAAACAACCCGCCGCAGGTAACTCTCATCCTTGTGGTTGTCATACAGCCACTGGGCATCAAGCACATCGTGCATCGTCACCATATGGTCCTGAAAAGCAGCCACGCGCAAAAATTGTTCAGTGTCACTGTATCTTAAATGGTCCAACAGACCCCAAACTTCCAAAATGTGAATGAATTTAGTCCAAACTCAGTCTTTAGTCTCTTCCCAATCATCTATCTTCCGCATATCTGTAAGCTGGTGACATACTTAAATCTAGGCAGTTTTGTAGGCTGTGGGATCAAAATGAATAGAGTAATGCTTTCTACCAATCATCTCCCACAGCCCAGGTTTCAATGTTCCAAAGTTTAATTAACAGAACAGGGAAGCCGCCCTGAACTGAACTCAACACTTTGGAAATTGCCTTTTCCAGGATGTGAAGCAGGTGGCATTGCAGCAGGGGCGGGAGGATGTTAAGGAGCAGCTCCAAAACTTCTAGCCCATAATGCTGTACCTTTTCACTCATGACTCCAGAACGCACTCGCCGAAGTTCCTGCATCTGACCGCCAACTCCCAACAACAAACCCAGGTGCACACACAGTGTCCGGATATACGTGCCGGCCTCACAACTCACCCAAAAGATTCCTAAGATGCACACACATAAAAGTAGCACATTTTCCAAAGTAAACACATTGCTAACTGAAAAACCCAGAGTTATTCTGTATCTGAGCCAACAAGACTAAAAACAATAGAAACAGGCCCTGACCACACCATATACTAAGGGCATCTATTCTTAATGAGAGAATCTAATTCTCAACAATGCATTCCTGGGGTGCCTGCGTGGCTCAGTTGGTTGAGTGTCCACTCTTGATTTCGGCTCAGGTCTCGATCCCAGGGTCGTGGGATCAAGCCCCTCGTCAGGCTCCATGCCAAACGTGGAGCCTAAGATTCTCTCTCCCTCTGTCCCTCTACCCCAGTGGCGCTCTCTTTAAAAAAAAAAGGCATTCCATGGGGCGCCTGGGTGGCGCAGTCAGTTAAGCGTCCGACTTCAGCTAGGTCCCGATCTTGCGGTCCGTGAGTTCGAGCCCTGCGTCGGGCTCTGGGCTGATGGCTCAGAGCCTGGAGCCTGTTTCCGATTCTGTGTCTCCCTCTCTCTCTGCCCCTCGCCCGTTCATGCTCTGTCTCTCTCTGTCCCGAAAATAAATAAACGTTGAAAAAAAAAAAAAAGGCATTCCTGTCCACACATGGTGTCCTGTCCACATATGGATGGCTTCCTCAAAGGCCTAAGGACCCACCTAATCTTCTTTCCGGATCATACTCGATCATCTTGCTCTCGTATATGGTCCGAACTCGGAGCTGCCTCTTTACTGCAGCAATAAGTGGGGGTCGCTGGAATAAGGCACCTGTCAGAGTTTCTAGGGCCTAAGAATAAGCACAAATCAAAATAAAGACTCTTGAATAAGAGCAAGGGTCTACTGTGGCAGGTTGAGGACACAACTGAAACACAAAGTATCTTTCAATCATTTAAGACCTATGATGCCCTTTCCATTTTTGCTTCTTTCTTCAAAGACACAGAAAGGACTCGGTGCCAATCAGAGCCCTTTCCTCAGAAGTGGCATGTCCAGAAGTGACCCTGCCATGTGCAGTTACCTGTCCAGGCCAGCTTGGGCAGCCCACTGGTAAGGGCACAAGACAGGACGGTCAGGAAAACCGACCTGTCTCCAGATGTCTACGGGCTTGGATACCCAAGTCGCCAAAATGTGCCCTCCCTATAATCAGACTTACCCTAGAAAGTTGAGTACCCCCTTCAATAGCATTGTGTAGCCGGACAATTCCCACATACTCTTTGCCTGAAAAATGACAAAAGAGTAGTCAGGTGTGGCCACTGAGTTTTCTGTAGTTTTAAAAATATGCTCATATTCACATTTTGTATAACAGGAAAAGCAGGCCATTTGACTCTGTAAAATTTGCATCAAGACAAATTTCATGGTTTGGACTTGGGAAAGGACTGAACATGCTCTCTCTCATTGGGAATTCAACTTTCAGTACGCTGACAGGGACCGCTGGAGCATCCAGCGTACAGCCTGCTTAGCAAAAAACCTTTTTCGGGCACCTGGGCAGCCGAGTCGGTTAAGTGTCCGACTCTTGATTTTGGCTTAGGTTATGATCTCACAGTTCATGAGATCAAGCCCCGTGTCAGGCTCTGTGCTGAAAGTGCAGAGCTTGCTTGGGATTCTCTTTCTCTACCCCTCCCCGGCTCACACAGGCTTGCTCTCTCTCCCTCTCAAAATAAATAAGCATTTAAAAAAAAAAAAGAAGAGGGGCGCCTGGGTGGCGCAGTCGGTTAAGCGTCCGACTTCAGCCAGGTCACGATCTCACGGTCCGTGAGTTCGAGCCCCGCGTCGGGCTCTGGGCTGATGGCTCGGAGCCTGGAGCCTGTTTCCGATTCTGTGTCTCCCTCTCTCTCTGCCCCTCGCCCATTCATGCTCTGTCTCTCTCTGTCCCAAAAATAAATAAACGTTGGGAAAAAAAAAAATTAAAAAAAAAAAAAAGAAAAAACCTTGGAAGGTCAAGTATGAGAGATTCTCCTGATGAAAATTTCCAAGGGCCAAAAATAGAAGGAAAGGAAATGTAGAAAGCCTTCCAGTATCAAAGTGGCTGCCTCTTTATTCCCTCTTGCACATACCTGCACTCTGTTGGGATTTCACCAAGCGAGTGGCTCGTTCTATGCACACGATTAAACAGCCAGTCACCTTGGGATCCAGAGTACCACTGTGTCCTGTCTTCTCCACCCGAAGTATTCGTCGGATCCACGCTACCACCTCATGGGAAGAGGGGTTGGAGGGCTTATCAAGATTAATGAAACCTGTCCTAGAATGGAAAAGAAATCGCTGCACCATCATCGCTGGCCCTTTAATAAAAACTAAATCTGAAGAGGAAAAAAGTTCACGATCAGTACGGGTTATGTGTTTAAGGCAATTCTAAGCCATTCTAAAATGCCACTATCTCCTTGAATAACTGATGTGAAAAGGTCTTTTTAAAAATAAACTCTATGTGCCATGTGGGGTTCGAACACATGACCTGAAGACCAAGAGTTGGATGCTCTATCAACTAAGCCAGCCAGGCGCCCCTGAAAAGGTCCTTTTGAAAAGAAGTCTGAACAGTGCTTGCTCCCAACACACTTACCTGATATAGTCCCCAATCTCTCTCTTCAGAGGATTTGATCCACAAGGAAGAGGTGTATAGTGTGTTGTCCTTACATTTAGCTTATCGAAATTCTGGAAAGCAAGGATACAACACAAAATAAACTTAATAAACCATTAACGTGTGTACAAGAGTCAGCACCACTATCAACCATGATATGGTTAACCTGCAAGTTCAGAAACCTGGATTCTACCCCTCGGTTTTCATTATGTGTGACACAGCGTTAAGCCCCCTTACACACTGGAGAAATTACCCACAGCAGGAGGATTTAGACAAAGTTAATCACTCCTCTAGAAATACTTTTTGTTACCGGGACTGGCAACCACGTTTCTCAAACACAACCAGCTCATTCCTGCTCCAGATGTTCCCATCTCTGTTCTCAGGTCTGCTCCTTTTTACTCTCCTCCTTTCCAGGGCTCAACTGCAGGTCTCAAAGAGCTCCCCTCAACTGAAGCTCACCTTTCACATTACCCAGTTTAGTTCCATCGTAGTGCTTCTACAAATAGCAATTATTTTTTTTAACCATCTACCTCCCACCCCTAGATTTTAAGTTTCATGACAGTAGGGACTCTGGCCTATCCAGTTCACTAGCATATCCCCAGAACCTATAACAGAAAAGCAGATATAAATGGTAGACCCATCTGGCCGAGCAGAAACTGAACAGTGTTGAATTATACGAGCAAATCTCATTCTTTCACCTAATATATATTGATTTATTAAAACACTTTGCCAAGAGGCATCTGAGTAACTTTCCCTACCCTAGCTTTTTCTCCTAATCTCATACATGGTGCCCACTAAGTTGTTTGTGAAACTTGTAATTCAACTCATCACTGAGCCAGCCTATTTCAAACCCAACACAATGGTCAGCAATTTTCTAGAGAACGTGTTACGTGCCAGGCACTACAGCAAAACACATTTCATGGATTACCTCCTGCAGCCCTCAGCTTGCCTTCCCAATAAAAGATGCCATGAGCAAACCACCTCAGAGGTTAAATGACTGGCTCAAAGTCACACACTGACTTTGTGTGGTCACAAAGTCTGAATGAAATTGGTCTGGTTTCAAAGCTCATGTTCTCAATCACTAAAGCACTCCTGCTCCAAGCGAGGCTCACAAACTAGTATGAGTCTGTAAAGTGGAGTTAAATACAGAAACCAAGAACTAATTATTTGTAAACTTCGATGGTGGTTTTACATTGTGACATTTTAACTGTATCATGTAAAGCGTTGGGTGCACTGGAAATGAAAACCAAAACAAAACAAAACCTGGCCTTCATGTCAGACACACTGAAAAACATTGCTTTAGACTGTGTCATCTACCATTGCCAACGTCAAGGATGCTAGCGCTAATCACTCTTAACGAATCTTTTAACACTTCAATAAGGTAAAAGCCAGGCATTGATCCGATGCATAATCTTAACCACATACCTTGAGCAACAGGGGCCATTGAGATGTGTCCAACTGAGCTGCCTTGGATTCAGGTTTGATAAGAAATTCCTCAGCGTGTTGTATCTCCTTACATGGGACAGAAACACACCCTATTAGACTTCCCAAGTGATTTGGAAAAGTTCCACTGCTATCACATAAGTTTAAGCCTTTTAAATAGAAAACAAGGTAGTTTCTCTTGCTCTTCACTGGGACCTCCAAAGAAAAACCAGGATCTCGGAAATGAACCACGATCTCAGAAAAGTAAGTGAAGTGCCACCAAGATGGGGTCAGGTCCTTATGAGAGAAAGAGGAATAGTGGGTCTGTGGGTGGAATAAAAAAAAGCATTTCAGGGAGAGCAGCTGGTGTACCAACACCAGTCAGCAAACTCTACTTGACAGGAGACTCAGGTGACTGGGGTTGTGTATTTCCTAAGACAACCACTCAATTCCAACCCATTCCTTAGAAACTTGCCAAAAACAGTTGTTTTATGTAACCTGTTACCTACGTAACATTTCCTTTTTGTCAAAGCAAAGCAAAACATATTTCTACTCACTGCTACATCTTCTTCTGCTAACGACTTCCGCTCCTTTTTCTTCTTATGTTTCTTCGGCACAGTATACACTAAAACAAACACACACACACACACACACACACACACACGAGATTTGGGAGTTTTTCCCCAAAATAAGGACAACGAAGCTTCAAATAGTGAAATCAGAGCAAGTAAAAATCGGATGTTTGATCTAGAATTGCTGGGTAAAGCCTAGTGTGTAAAAGACAAATGCGTGGGCTGCACGGCCCGGTAACCGACCGCAGGCAGTCGCACATGCCGGCTTCCATTCCGGCTCACCACGTGGCCGTGGAGGGGCTTAGATCTGCCGCAGGAGCGCTCGGGCCAAGGGCCTCCAAGTTCCCTGAGTGACCATGCAACCGCCCCCTCCCCGGCCCCCAGCCTGTACAACTTTCTCTGCACTTGGAGCTGCGCGTACGTCCGAGCCCCTCGGCCCCTCTCCTTGCGGGGCCTCTTCCCAGCGCCCTTCCGCGTGGCGCCGACCGACCCGGGTGTGTGGGCTGCCGGCGGCGCAGGTACGGCCAGGTCTCCCGTCCCCGCGGGGTCGCCGGAGAGGCCGACGCCTGTCGGCGACGACCCGGGCCCTCAGGCGGCTGTGCCATCGAAGGGAGGCCCGAGCCTCGCAGAGCCACGTCACTGCCAGCACCTCTCCATCTCCTGCCGTCACCCTTAGAGCCAAGGCCAAGAGGAAGGCCAACAGGAGGCCCGGCCCGGCGGCGACGGGGCCGGACCCGCGGCAAACCGGCGGGGATCTCGGCCCCCGACGCCGCCACCCTCCCACCCCGGCTCTCCGCACGGCGGGGCCAGTACTCGGCCCGGCCACCCACGAGGAAACGACCCTTTACCTTCCGTGTCCGCCATGTTGCCCCGCACAGCGTGCGAGCAGCGTGGGACACCGCCGAGGAAGCAAGCACAGACTCCCGCCGTCCTCAGGCCGCGCCACTAAGCCCCGCCCACCTCTGTGACGCCCAGTGCGCGCCGCGCCGCGGAGCGGTGGGGGCGGGGCCGGGCTCTGGGAGCACAGCCCGGGGCGCGCGCGGGCCGCCTGCACAATTTCATTGGTTGGGTTGCCCTCCCGCCCCCGCTGCGGTAGCGCGCCCGCGCGTGCGCCTTGAGCCTCGCCCGGCCCTGGGCTGCCCCGGTTGGAGGCGCATGCGCAGTCCGCCCCGGTGGTCCGTAACTTGTGGGCGCGGTCCCGGGCCCGGGTCGCCGACTTTCGTTGGGTTTAACACGGGCCTAGGCACTCGGGCGTCCCGCGAGCACTCTGTTAAACAACAGCTAATTGCTTCCTTTCGCCGACCCTTTAAGGTTGGGTATCGGATCAGTCCCGATTAAAAAGCGAAGACGTTGAGGCACAGAGACGTTGAAACCTCTTTGCTGCTTGCAATTCCCATCCAGCTAGAGCGCCGCTGGCCAATAGGAACACTGTGCGAGCTGCTTGTGGACTTTTAAATTTTCCAACAGCCACATGGCAAGAAAAAAAAAAAGGAAAAGGAAAAAGGGGAAATTGATTTTCATAACAAAATTTGTTTAACCCAATGATCCAAAATATTTTCATTTCAACATATAAGCGATACACAACATTATGAATGGAATATATTACATTTTTTTGGTACTGTCTTTCCAGTGTGTGTTTTACACTTACAGCACACCTCGATTGGAAGTGCACGAGGGGGCTCCATGTCAAGGGCTCTGTAGTCACAGATCCCTTAATGGCAGCAGTATCTGGCAGCCAGGAAGTAGCAAATCCTGGTGCAAGCTCTCTTCCCGTCTGTCTTTGGTGTTCATCTCACTCTTCTGTCTGTCAAGCACGGGTTCTTTTTTAAAGACTTTTTAAAAGGTTTACTTGGGGTGCCTGGGTGGCTCACTCGGTTGAGTGTCCGACTTCGGCTCAGGTCATGATCTCACAGCTCGTGAGTTCGAGCCCCGCTCGGGCTCTGTGCTCATAGCTCAGAGTCTGGAGCCTGCTTCGGATTCTGGGTCTCCCTCTCTCTCTGCCCCTAACCCACTCGCATTCTGTCTCTGTCTCTCTCAAAAATAAAAATAAACATTAAAAAAAATTTTTTAAGTAAAAAAAATAAAAGGTTTACTTATTTTCAGAGAGAGAGAGAGAGAACGGGGAATGGGCAGAGACAGAGGTAAAGAGAATCAAGCAGGCTCTGCACTAACAGTGCAGAACTCACGAACTGTGAGATCAGAATCTGAGCCGAAATCAAGAGTCTGAGGTTGGACCAACTGAGCCACCCAGGTGTGCTCAAGAGGGGGTTCTTAATCTAATCTCTGTGGATTTGACTGATTTTGACTTATTTATTTACTGCTATTGTAAATGAAATCTTTGACATTACCTTTTCTAACGACTTGCTGCTTTGCTTCCAGTTTTCCTCTGCCATACAAAAATTAGCAACGTTTGGGCATCTGGGAGGCTCAGTTGGTTAAGCGCTGACTTCGGCTCAGGTCATGATCTCACTGCTCTTGAGTTTGAGCCCCGCACGGGGATCTGTGCTGACAGCTCAGAGCCTGGAGCCTGCTTCAGATTCTCTTTTCTCTCTCTCTCTCTCTCTCTCTCTGCCCCAGCCCTACTTGCATTCTGTCTCTGAAAAATGAATAGATGTTAAATTTAAAAAAAATTTTTAACACCTATTTATTATTGAGAGACAGCATGAGCATGAGCATGGGAGGGGCAGAGAGAGGAGGAGACCCAGAATTCGAAGCAGGCTCCAGGCTGTGAGCCGTCAGCACAGAGCCCAACACAGGGCTCAAACACACAAACTGTGAGACCATGACCTGAGCCGAATTCAGGCACTTAACTGACTGAGCCACCCAGGAGCCCCGAAAAAAAAAATTTTTTTTTTAATTTTTTTTTTCAACGTTTATTTATTTTTGGGACAGAGAGAGACAGAGCATGAACGGGGGAGGGGCAGAGAGAGGGAGACACAGAATCGGAAACAGGCTCCAGGCTCCGAGCCATCAGCCCAGAGCCTGAGGCGGGGCTCAAACTCACGGACCGCGAGATCGTGACCTGGCTGAAGTCGGACGCTTAACCGACTGCGCCACCCAGGCGCCCCAAAAAATTTTTTAATCAGAAATTTTTCACTTGTATTTTACAGTGCCTTAAAAAATAGATTTGTTTTTCCTCACCTAAGTTTTTATACTACATGGAATTTATTTAGGTGTGTGCCCCAGTAATAATAATAATAATGATCTAAATTGACTTTTTATAGATAACCAAAGTCCCCAGTATCAATCAATCCATGAGTAGTTCATTACTTCTCCCACTATTCTATAATGCTTCATTGGTAAATATTTTGCCGAGTAAATGTAGGCTTCATCTTTCTCCAACAGTCTTCATCCAGTCTGTTAGTCTCTCAGCTTTGGTTCCAAAGGAGATCCAGAGTCTGATGGTTTTTTACCACCTTCAGTGCTGTCACCGTAGTCCATGCCATCTGTATGGTTCTCCTGTATTTTTCCAATGGCCTCCTGCAGGGCCCTCTGCTTCTACTATCTCCAACTATACTGTCTTCTCAATGTGGCACCTGGCAAGAGCCATTAAACTGGAAGTCAGGGCATGTCTCTCCTCTGCTCAAACCCCTCAATGACTTCCCATCTGTAGTGGATGAAGTGGCCCCCCAAAAGATTTGTTCTGACCCCTGGCCCCTGTGAATGTGACCTTATTTGGAAAAAGGGTCTTTGTACATGTAATTAAGTTAAGGATCTCAAGATGAGATCACCCTGGATTACCAGGTGGGCCCCACATCCAGTGGCAAGTGTCCTTAGAAGGGAAGAAACCATGTGAAGATGGAGGCAGAGACTGTAGTGCTTTCGTACTTCAAGCCTCGAGATCTGGAAAAGAATGAGTTTATGTTAGTTAAAGCTGCCCAGTTAGGGGTCCTTTGTTAGGCAGCCCCAGGAAACCAATGCAGCATCTCACTGAGTAAGAGCTAAAGTGTCTGTGACAGCCACTGCCCTTCTCTTCCTGTGTCCAGCTCTGTCCCCTCCTGCCCTTACTCACCCCACTCCTGGCACGCTGCCTCTTGACTATTCGGGACTACTCCAGGCACATTCCCCCTCCTCGGGTCTTCTGCACCTGCTCTCCCCTGTGCCTTAAATGAAACTTGTTCATTGTCTCTCTTCACTAGCCTTATGAAGCCAGGACAATTTTGTCTATTTGTTCACTGCTATATATCCAGCTCCTGGAAGATGCTCAGTAAGTAGTTTTGTTTAATGAATCTGTGTCTTCTGAACTCAGAAACCCCATGGACCTGCCCTTACCAGCAGAAGCAGCCCCCCCTCCCCTGTCTGATGAGGCCGATCCTGCCTTTCCTGGGGATCCTGGAATGAAGTCACCAGGTCAGTTACTGAGCAAGAGGATGCCAGTTCTCCTTGTGCCCTAGCTCCTCACGTCCCTCATTGTCTCCAATCCCAAGACTCAGGTGGGTGAGAATGTTGGAATGAACTTGTTGTGTGCAACTTACTGGCTCAGCCCTTAACTACATCCCCTAAGAGAGCTCAAGGGACCTTTTTACCAAAACACTGAGACATACTTTGGTGAAGGTTCTGGAAAATTAGTCTGGGAAAGGAGGGGAGTGGTGTTGCCATGGAAACAGGGTTGCACTCTCAGTGGGAATTATGGGATCCTGGAGCAGCAGAGGCCAAGTAGTGGCACTAAATCTCATAGAACAGGATGGTTTCTCCCCAAGGATCTTTGGTGGTGGCTAATTGGTCATGATGTCCTGTTAATAGGCCACCTATGGTACTCCATGGTGTGTAGAACCCCAACAACAAAGGCTCTAGGTCTGCCTCAAGTCACCACAATGGAAACTCATAGCCCCTCATCGGATCCCCAGACCCAGTCAGTCCACAAGCTCAGAGCCCTCAAGTGAAGATGAGACCAGGTACACTTAACACTAGTGTATACTTCTTAAAAAGTTTATTTATTTTGTTGGGGCGCCTGGGTGGCTCAGTCGGTTAAGTGGCCGACTTCGGCTCAGGTCACAATCTCGCGGTCCGTGAGTTCGAGCCCCGCGTTGGGCTCTGTGCTGACAGCTCAGAGCCTGGAGCCTGTTTCAGATTCTGTGTCTCCCTCTCTCTGACCCTCCCCTGTTCATGCTCTGTCTCTCTCTGTCTCAAAAATAAATAAAAACGTTAAAAAAAATTTTTTTTTAAATAAAAAAAAAAGTTTATTTATTTTGTGAGAGAGTGTGTGTGCATACAAGCAGGGGAGGGACAGAGAAAGAGTGAAAGAGTGAATCCCGAGGAGGCTCCATCTGCCCTGTCAGCACAGAACCCGATGTGAGGCTCGATCTCACAAACCCTGAGAGCATGACCTGAGCCGAAGCTAAGAGTCGGACACTTAACCGACTGAGCCACCTAGGCGGCCCGTAGTGTATACTTCACACCTTCATCCTTCTTTTCCATGGGGACATAGAATGCCATTGCAGTCCACTGGTCAGAAATGGAGACTCAGTCTGTGTCCCTCTCCCTGTGGGTCCTCCTTGGCTTTTCTCCCAGTTCCTGACTATGTAATTGGAATAAACACAATCGGGAGCTGGAAAAATTCCGCGAGGGGCTTTTTGACTCAAGGATGGAAGACAATTATGGAAAGAACAGTCAAAAGGAAGCCTCTAGAGCTGTCCCTTCAATTCTCTGGTGTATTCTTATAATTAAGTCCCCAGGGACTGACTCGATCATCTCACTGTCCCCCAAGACATCATGCTGGTCCATTACATGAATGATACCACACTGACTGGACCTGATGCATAGGAAGTAGCAAATATTTTGTCACAGGGTGAGAGATAAGTCCCCCCAAAATACAGGGGACCGCCACCTCCGTGAAGTTTCTGGGCATCCAGTGGGCTGAGGCATATTGAGATGGCCCTCCAAAGAGAAAAACAAGTTGCTGTACCTCCAGCCCACACCACTGAGAGAGAAGCACGGTGCTCAGTGGGCCTCTTTCTGGAGCTGGCGTACTC